TTCACATTGCCTTTTGGAGAGCAGCATGGGCCCCTTGCCCCCTTCCCTGCCCTTGCCTTCTGCCTCCGTAGGCTCAGCTATCACTGTGGGAATTTCACAGGTTCTGCAGGCAGTGCTTTCCAACCCTTGTGTTAAAAGCAGAAGGCAGATAGAAAAGCTTCCCATGTTAAAGACATGTTTAGGAACCATTTTGAGCCTTCATCAGGGAGCAGCTTGAGGTGGACAAAATATATGGGGGATGTGAGGAGAGTAAATGCTATTTGACTACACAGCTGAAAAATGATTGTTTGTTTCTGAAGGGGGGTGGGCTTGATAATAGCAATCACTTTTTTCAGTGCCTGCAATGCAGAAGTTTCTCTGTGCTAATCTTGGCACTGACATTGAAATTGATGTGTGGCCTTTAGGTAAGTCACTTAATCAATGTGTTTGTAAAATGAGGATAATAACATTTATTTGCCTGCCTGAAATGGATGTAGTAAGGACAGACTGGTTAGTGCTGTGAAATGCTATTTACTAGTAATTGCAAGTATTATTATGCTGTGGACTTAAAACCCTCCTTGACTGGTAATTGAAACAGCTGAAGAACCAAATAAAAGTCTGAAATGTAAAGGTGACAGTGGTTTCAGCTAAGGTGGGGCTGGTTAACCCGCTTCCTTTTCATGAAGCTAATTATGCTTTAGCTGAGGCAATATACATCAAAAATGTTTGGAGCATGTACTTGCTCTTACTGAGAAATAGAGTGAGAAGAAATATTGTGGGATTCATATTTGAGTCACTGGGTAATGTACCATTGATAATGGGTCAAGGGAGAAGCTGGGTGTAACACAGAAAAATACATGTTCAAGCCTCTGTTCTGGGATGCAGGTGCACTCAGGTGTCCTGAGAGCAGGATGAGCAGTGTAGATAAGACAGAATTAGATGCATCATTACCATTTTCAACCCAATTAACATCCCCGCTCTTCAGGATCAAATAAGGTCTGTAACTTGCTTTTTGGTATGGCAGGCTGAAAAAAAAATTAAAAAGTCCTAAGGGTGAGAAGAATGAATAATGCTGTAAAGCAGTATGAAGCAGATTAGGAAATGAATTACAGTAAACTGTCTTATCTGTGAGCTGGGCTTTGAGAACTCTCCTGAGGCCTCAGACTGCCCTGTTTCTCCCACAGATGTTTCTTTGAGAAGAGAGGAACATAAGATGGCTGCTTAGGGTGGCTAAAGAACCAGGTCCAACAAAAAAAAAAACCAAAACCAAACATTTGCCATCTGTAATACTACATAGAATCATCCTGTTATAAACAATCATGTTTCTTTGATGCAGTAGTTAAAATAAACCTAGGCTAAGGTTTCTCTAACAATTAATAAAGGAGTTATTTCATCCCTCCTCATGTTGAGAGAAAGCTAACCAGCAGGGTGTCTCTGACTTGACTAGAACTTGGGGGAATAACTGCTTCAGGAATGTTACACATATCTCACTTCATCTGCTTAGTATTTTCATGGTGAATTTGCTTGAAATTTATTAAGGAAGCAGACTCAGATTGGGATTGGCAATATTTCCAAGAATACGTCAAGGGTTATGAAAAAAGAAGTGGTGGAATTGGAATTGAGGAATAACTTTGCCTTTCTCCAGTTTACAGCCTTGCTTTCCAGTTTGAAGTTTTACAATCCAAACTCAGGGCAAACACAGCCAGGGGGCTACATCTCCAGAGCAGCAGTGAAAAACACAGTGGTTGCTGAGCAGGGCACCCGTGGCTCTTGGCAGTACTGCTTGGCATACTGTTGGCAGGATTGCTTCCTGCATATATTGGAGTGGATAAACTTTGCACCAAGCTACAGAAGGAGAAACATGTTGCTTTCTTCTGTAAAACAGTTCTTGGAGAGATCACAAGCCCCTGCACAGTGGTATGGCACTCAGAGAGAATTGTCACACAGTGGCAAATCATCCTAAGGTTAGAAACAGAGAGGTGCCTCTTTGGGGTTCATGAAAACCTACTAGCTGTGGGACACTCAGAGTAGGAAGAACCAGATGTACTGAAAGCCAGACATTAAAGAGATACACTCATGAGAAGCAGATTTATATTCAGAAATAAAGAATCTGGGTTGCTGGAGGCTCCTCAGGTTCAAAGGAGGGCATCTCAGGGGAGTTCTGCTACAGTAATACGTGGGCAGAGCCCTGTCACTCAGAAATACTGAAATGAAGAGATTAGGCAGAGGCAAGGTCCAGCAACTATTCTGATCCCGTGGGAGACAGTGCTACTGGATAGAAAAGCATTGCTGTCTGACAGTCAGTGAATTCTTAGAAACATTTCTGGGAATATTCAGTCAAATTGGTAGAAGAATACGCTCAGTAATTTAATGTTCCTTTTGGGTCTTGATAATCATAGCCTTACAGAAAAATCAGTCAAAATGGCACTTGAATAGCCATGTCAAAATGTCTAGCAGTGGCAGTGTGCTAAGTATCCACAGGTAACAGGAATATCGTGCAAGTTCAGTTGAAACAAGATAAAGACACTCAATTTTCCAGATATAAATTCTAGTCCCAGATTATCATGGTCCTATGTTCAATTCAAATTCTCTCTTAGAAGAAATATGTGCTGACTTGTTTAGAACAGAAATGTATATTTAAAAAAAATCTTGCTCCATTTTCCAGGTTTTTATTCCATTGGACCTAGTTTTAACCAACAAGAAACAGTTTTCATTGATACAGCAGCAAAGTATGTCATTCTGCCAGCAAAGACACATTCACTGAGTGTTATGGTAATTAATATGTACATGAGACATTCCTTCTACCTTTAATGAGCTATTCTTAACACCAGAAGTACTTTCCAACCCGTGACAGAAGGAGATTTAACCTTACCCTGTCAAACTTAAGAGACAGATCAGAAGTGCTACAAGAGGGGGAATTCCAAGTCATCTCAATTATGTGGCACCACATGAAATAATTATATTTGGTTGCCCTTCAGAACGATATGTTCTTGAGGGGTAACTTTTATGTACTGCTCCTTCAAACAGGGCTGCACTCTGTGTGTGCTGTTTTTGATTTTTAAATAGCTCACACAGCTATAACCCCTGTGTGTTATCTCTAATGATGAATGACAGTATTATATTTACAAGCAGATACCATGTTCTTGAAAGATTTTTTTTCCCTTAACTATCGTGGTTTACAATGTAAGACAAAAGAAACGAAGGTCTTTGTTGAATCTTCTCTAACATAATAGAAAGTTATCAGAGAAGATATTATACTTTTTACTAACAGAGATAATACACAATGCACAATACTTTTTTTACAGAATGAAAAGAATAAAACTAATCAAACCTTCTTCAGTTAATATGCAAAGCACTATGTAAAATATATTAACCTTAAAGGCATAGTGTACCTGATTTAAACTCAGACAAAAACTTGTTTTCATGTTTCCAAATATTGAATAGGTTATAAAATTAATTTAATTTAATTCAGCAATACAACAGAACCCACTGCAGGTCCTCAGTATTGAAAAAGGTCTTGATTTTTATAAAAAACTGAATCCTGATATAAAAATGAAATCATGTGAACAAGAAGGACAAACACTAAAAGCTGAAACAATTCAGTTTATTCTAAAAATGAAAAAAACAGGGCAAGACATTTGACATTGTTTTAAATTAAATTTGCAAAACATTTCTAGATTTGAGAAAAACAGAGACAAGAGGTGATAGTTTGCCTTTTTCTAATGAATAAGAATATCTAAACTTCATGGAATAGAAAGGAAATTAAGAAAACAGGAAACGTGGCAGTTATTTTTCTGGTTTTGTTTTTACAGTTATAAATAATCAAGCCTTCCTTTTGCAGAAAAGGAATGGCTCCTTGTGCAACTCCTTGCAAAACCGGGGTAGTATTTTGGTGACATTAGCATCTCATGTTTCATACTGCTGTCCCTTCATCAACATGCAATGACATCGTGGAGAAACCATCATGCCTATCTCATCCATCGACATGCTGTTTAATTTTCTTCCATGTTAATTTTACATTTCTTAGGGATGTCAATGCCACATGACTTACTGTAAAACAAAGGGAAAAAATCAGTGTTAAAATAGAACTAGACAAGAGAGAGGGAGAAGATAAACATGTTAGCACATAAATCAAGAAAATAAACCTAAAGCAAAAAGTATTACTTTGTGATTTTAAAAATTTAATAAAGGCAGTATTTACAAAAACAGACCTAACATGAAAATTCCTACAACATGAAAAGAATTATACTGAAGAAGTCAGCTGAAAAGCTTTATTTTGAGCAATGTAACTCATATACAGAGCTCTTCACAAGTCTTCATGTAAATCTTATTCAGAGCTTCAAGTAACCCAGCAACTTGGACATAAACCTGAAAATAAACCTAGTATTAATCACTTGTAGTAGTGCTAGAGTGGTTTCAACCTACCAGAGCACACATTTTTGGCAAGCACAGAGGCAAGATGGAAACAAGTCCATCCATTTAAAAATGCAAAGAATGTGTATGAAATGTTATAGTGCTAAGAAAGTAATAAGACATAAACAGTTGATCTTGCTTCTTCCTCACTTTTAAGGTGTATAATACATGTCCTGATTCATCAGCCCTCTTAAATGTTAGCTATATCCCATTACTTAAGTCAGATTGATATTCACAGTGAGCATCTTTTAATGTTCTGATTGGAATAACAGTTTGATTGTACAGGAGATTATGTTCCTTGAGACTCAAGGGTTCCTCAATGACAGCAAAGTAGTCACAGTTCACAGAAATTACATGTATATACTAAAAACAATTCAGTGAAGTTGTGAGTCTATTTTGAAATGACAATTAATTAAAAGAAAAGTAAATAGAACACAGAAGTAAGAACATAAGTATTTAGCACTTTGCAACACAAAGGTCATGAAGAAAATTTTGGTGGATACAGCTAATTTGTGCTTTTCAGTGAGACACACTAGTAATTTAAAGTAAGAGAAGCTAAAACATCCCATGCAAAATGACACAGCTAATACTTGCAGCTAATACTTGCCCTTAAGTCCTGCAGAGGAAAGTTTTGTGTTCCAAGGACGATGTTCCAGATTTAGAGAATGACTCAGCTCCCTTTGCAAGTGTTTCTTGTGCACGTGTTGAATCAGATGGCAACACAGGAGTTGCTGAGGAGACAGCTGCAGGAGTGCTTAGGTCAAGAAGCAACAAATAATTCATTAATTTTAAGAGTAATTCAGTATTTTAACTGTGTGCAGCTGAAACAGGAGAAGGAGGAAATGGAACAAATAATTCTAACAGTGTGTACAATTAACTTATGAATGAAGAAACCTCTCAAGTTGCACAAGTTAATTCCTTAACCACAGACAGTAAAAGAACCAGATAATGACAACCAGAAACATGTCAGGAGAGGACTCAGTGTGGTTTATGAGATTAAGCTTTAATGAGGTAAAGCATGAAAGACTTTTGGAAATATTCCTACTTTATAGTGTACTATTCTTAATAGAGAGTACTATTATGGCTACTATTTCATTACTATCAACCTGACTGACCAAAGGCAGTAAACTGTATCACTGATTTAAAAAATGTTAAATGTATAGAAGGTTATTATTAAAGCAAAAATATATATCTATAAGTAAATATAAATATAATAATGTACACAACGATCCTATTATATAGTATATAATATATAACAATGTATTATGATAGATCTATAATAAGATATATAACAACCTTTAACAATATAAATCTGTAATGATAATTTTGGCTGGAACACTGTGTTATGAGTTTCTGTGATAGCATAAAGTAAATGGCAGATGGGTTCCAGAGACTCAGAATAACTACAGGTCTGTGTGTTCTCATTTATCCCAACACAATTATTCACATTTTAAATTATTTGAAAAAAAAGAACTGGAATAAAAGAACACATAAAAATATTTGTAATTTTTTACCAGGACACAGGATTTTGAATACTTAAGTATTTCTAGCTTAAGTATTTCTACGGTTGGCTAATGTAAGACTAGTGCACAATGAGCTGATTTGCTCATGGTCCCAAAAGCCATAGATATAAGGTTTTTCATAAGATCTGTTGGGATTTTAACATAAATTTGGTAAATGCTACCAAATGCATATTTATGCATACAAAAGCAGAATAAATAGAAAGAGATATTGGGCTTAAGGTTTTTTTATATTCTATATTGACAAATTACTGAATTGCTGACAGGCTGTAAAACAGGCCTTTGAATAGTACAAACATCCATGATGTCTTCCATTTATAGATGCTTTTCCTGAGAAGCTCAATGACAAATTTGAACTTAACAATGCAGTGACCTCCAGTTTTATACAGCTTTGCTGACTGTGCACTTCAGCAAAACTACTGTGATTTTGAAAAATCAGCTTGTCTCTAACCTGTCTCCTGGATTCTCCACTAAGGAATTACAGTTTTATATTGCTGAAACTACTGATTTTAGCAAAGTAAATGGTTGAGTGATAGAGGAATAAAATTGCAGAGGATGGTAGAAATCTGAGACCCCAGGAGTAAAGATATGGCACAATATTCAAACTAGCTGGGAATAGGTAAGAGGGAAGCAGATGTTATAAGGTTTAAAAATAAATGCAAACTTACCCAAAGCTGAGGAATTAGAATCCCCCAACATAAACATCACTGTTCTTCTTTTGTAGGCCTCATGGGCTGATGACTACAAAGCAAGTCCCATCTCCTGTCTGCATCAGGAAGACTGCCAAGCTCAGGACTTAGAAGCAACTGGAAAGGTGACCAGAACACCAGAAAAGTGAGGCTTTTCTGCATTAATCAGATAAATTATACTGTTAGAATATTTACTGGGCTAACAGTAAATTCTTATGAGTGTGTATATGGTGTAGCAAAGATTTTCAGTGTAACAAACTGTCTGTGAACCCTTCTAGTTGGGTTGCTGAACAACCAAACCTTTGAAAAAACTTTTGTAGGAGGAAGCCTACGGTCATCATAGAAGACTGGGATCAAATGCAGCAGGTGTGCAGTCCCGTTTGCTGGCAATTATCTAATTTACTACAAAAGAATTTTGGGCAACTCAGGTGCTTCAGGATCACTGACAATCCAAGGAAGGCAGAGAAACAGTAGTTACATCAATTTATGATTTGGCTGTAACTTACTCCAGCCAAACCTTGCCATGGCAAGTAGCAGGTTTTGTGAGGGACAGGGAAACTTTCTTGAAAATCTGAGAGAAAGAGGAGAAAACAGATGGCAGTCAGAGCAAGATGATGATAGGTGGATACTGAATGAAAGCACCAAATCTGCTTATACTTGCTTTAAAGGCATAGTCCTGTGTGATCAGAGATCTCTGTCTCTGTCCCTTTCTCATGACCCAGCTGAGTACAGATTGTTTTTATTATGGCTTTACCTGTAAAGGACAACATCAGATAGGCTGACAGGGAAATCAAGGAAGGAGACAACCAAATCCAACCTCTCACTACACATGTCCACTCTGCTCCCAGAAATACCTGTCTTCCTCTCCTTTTGTAGAAGAAATATCTGGACTGAGGGAATGGCACATTCAGCAGGGACTAAACCTTGGACATGCAGATTGTTGCAATCCAGCTGTTTCCACAGTAGCAACTGTCAGCTGTGAGTGGATATGCAACACTCTAGGAGCCTGAAAAAGAGGCAGAGAATTTGAAAGATTGTATCATCTGGGGATGGATCACAAGCCAAAAGAAAGCAGAGATATGTTAGGACCAGAAAAAGCTGTCAGTCTCAGTTTGAAATGTATGTGGTAGAGACAGGCAAGCCTTGAATTATGACCAGGGTGTATTTTAAATCCTGTAGTGGATGTCCTGGACACAGAAATGTATTTAGTTTTAGGGCCTGTACACACTGGAACAGTACAGAAAGAGATGGCAACCCATATGAGGGAAGAAGTGATCTAGGGGACACTGAATAATAGCAAGCAAAAAAAAACAAACAGAAAGTCCATCACAGTGCATGACTCAGATGCTATAAATACTTCTCATTTTTGTCATCATTCACTCTCATATATTCTTCTCCAGTAAAAGTGGCAAAAGGAGGATGACAAAGTGAAAAGAGGCAGAGAAGAGTTCATGCACATATACAATGGTAGGAAATACCGTAGTAAGGAAATAGTCAGATCTAGAACAAACACACATGGAAACAACACAAAAAAAAACCAAAACAGGGAAGTGATCCTGGAACTAGCAGATCACTAACTGAAGACTGGTATAAAGAAAAAGGTGTCTAATTGCTTATGCCCTACCTTTACAGACACCAAAGGGAACCTCTCCTCTTGGGGATGGCCTGCTCTCCTGATGGAACAACAGAAAAAGTGGAAAATGAGGAGAGAGCTTGGATGCTGCCTGAGAAGATAATATAATGCAGAAAGAAACAAAGAAGTGCATATTCAACCAGGAGAAATCAGAACTGCTGTAAGCAGTGATGGTGCCCTGTTGCAGGAGCTGATGGTACAAGCATGACGAAATCTGCACCCAGTGGCTGCTTAAACTAAAATGAGATTAGCCACCAATATTAACCATTTTTTGAGTAGGATTAGTGGGATTGAGTAGGATCTCATCCAGAGAGAATTTTGAAAGATAAACAGAAGGCTCAGAAACATCAGAAAGGAAGGGTGTTTGAAACTGAGGAAAACTGACTGAGAGCCAACATCACTTAAGCTATTCTGATGGAATTGGGACTAAATTAACTTGAAAAAACAAAATTTATCCATATAATACATGACTTTAATTAATATATTACCAGTGAAGATTGCTATTTGGATTAAAATAAAAATATTTAGCTGCTTGTTGCAAAAAACCTGTTATCTAAAAAAGTTATCTACTAACATGAAGTAAATTTTCATACTAAGTAGTAAGGAAGTAATTGTTTTATTAGTATGTACTTCAACATAAAATATTCAGGAGACTGAAATGCAGCCAATAATCCTATATATCCTCAGAAATGCATACTGAAGGAGGTGTTGGGTGCCTGGGTAACTAAGATAACTATTAATTATATTTGCTCCTGTTATTTCACACAGGTAACACAGTTTAAGCAATCCCTTCCAAATCTATTTATACTAGAAGCTGTGTATCACTTAATTTTCTTTACTGTATAATTTTGTTAAACTGCATACATATAGAAAAAGTGAAAGTCATACCACTTTTCTTTTAACTGAAATGCCATGGCTGATTTTAAAAATGAGCATGATATAAACCTTTCTAAGAAGAGAAAAAGGATCCATCCTAAAGGATTTATCTCCAAGCAAGGGAAAACAACTATGTGAAGACAGATTAGTTCTTCCTAATCCATGAATATTGATGTTCTCAACAAAAATGAAATATATTTGTCTTGGATGAAGATTTCTATATTATAGAAATGTGGAGTTTTAAATGTAGAGTCTTTGTTCTAAGAAGAAAAGGTGAATCACAAAGGCATAAAAAATTTCCTATAGAAAATGGTATTGCATACAGTAAAATCACCTATGGCAACAGATTACACACCTGTAAGTGCAGCTCTGTATCACTGGAATTGTGAAGGCTAAACCTTCAGTTATTGTACTGGGGATATTATAAGACAAAAATACATAGTTAACTCTCAGACCCTTTTGTGTGCTAAAGCCTTTTCTGCATAACAAGTATGCACTGGATATATATATATAGAGATGCATTATTAATGAGGGTGTTGGCTTTTGGTTTTTTATCCAAATTTATCCAATACTTTGAAAAACTGTAGTGTTAAAATATTAATTGGACTAACAAGAAGTTCTTAATTCCATATTTGGTGTTTTCTTCTAACTACAGAAAATTTTTGAGTGTAGCATTAAGGATCTGTCCCTATCTTTCTGTTCACTCAACACACTGTTGGTCATACCTGAGAATGAACAGGGTCAAATGCCACTGACTGCCATTAAAAAGTAAACCAGAACTAATATTGACAAGATCTAAAAAGCTCTCTGTGGAAAGCATTTTGGACTTCCAAAAGTTTTGCATTTCACACACACTTTGCACCAGATCCATCTGCTTTTCCTGCGGTGAACTCGGGAGAGACTTGAGTTCATGCATACAACTGAGGTACTACTCTGGTTTTTGAAATCTAAAATACTTCTATACATACTAATGAATTTATATTGACAGAGCTGTCAGAGCATTAGCAGTATGCATCTCCTTTCTTCTCACCTCACTTGACCTCCCGAAGGATTAGATGTGTTACCCTCTGAATGATTATCTGGCAACCTCACTTTCTTTTCTGAGTAAAAGGCCAGGCAGCCTAAATGCTTGTAGTGTTTTGGGACTATGCAACCAAGAAACACCCAAGGTAAGATCATTCCTCGGGGGTTTTAGGAAAGACCTGATAATGAACAGCAAGAAAACAAAATTGCTGCTGATGCTGTGGGGGTTTCATTCTCAGTTCTGACTGTATTGGATATAAGGAATACAATATTTAGCAAGCATTAATAAGTTGCTTTTTTAATAGTAATACATTGCTACAGGAGCTGCTGCAATAATAGCAAGAATGTTCCTCTGGGGCAACTATCCCAGAGAGCTCAAGCTACTCATTTTCTATGTTTTAGACATAAACACACAATGGTAAAACAGAGGTGACAGCTACAAAGTATTGTGGTATGGCATTAAGGAGAGAGTTCAGAATGTTTTATGTACTTCCTCCAATACATAAACACATATGCAAACACCAGAAAATTGCAGTAAGTTGTAGAAAGGTGTTACTATTGGCAGTAATTACTTTGGAGAAATATAGAAGGCATACAACAGACAGTATCTACGACATCCAAAAATATTATGAAATTCCTGAAGGTTTTATTTGTGTTTTGTATCTGTGAACTGTTTTACAAATTCTTACTTGATTTTTTAGTAAGACTCATAGACATTTTCACAACAAATATTGCTCTACATCTGTTCTACATCTGGATATTTTAAAATTGGTATCACACTTTGAAGTGTCTTGATTAATGTGTAAGCAACTTTGAAAGACATTTCCATTTTTTATAATCTATTATACACAATCAGGACACCAAAGCATAATCACACTGCAATGTTGTGAAAACAAGCAGTCATTATTTAGGACTTTCAGGTTGTTGGAATGTGTTTTTATTTTGCTGTGAATGGCAAGCGAAAATGGCATTCCCATCAACTGTGCTTACTGGAAATTTACAACCCTGAAACTGGCTTTTTAATGTTTCAGATTGTGTATTTGTTTTGATCTTTGCAGATGTGTTGTTATGTAAAGCTCTTGAAACCATGACAGGGCAAAGGTGATGCCTTAAAAGACAATATCAATACCCTACATTTCTAATAAACCCCAAACTTAAAATTCTGACACCTCTAAACTAATAAACATACCAACAGACACTTGTTGTGATTTGCTTGTTTGCTGCAATTTTTAAGGATATATGCTTTGTTCTTCATATGTAATCAAACAGTTGAATCCTTGCTGTAGTAGTTTTAATTATGGAACAGTCATGTGGTGTTTGGCAGCAGCTGTGCAACACTGAGCATTTCCTTTCTCCTATGTGTCTCACCTTGGCGAATCCAAAGATAGGGATAAGTCTCATGGGATCATAGAATAGCTTGTGTTGGAAGGGACCTTTAAAGGTCACCTACTACAACCACCCTGCAGTGAGCTACAGCTCCGTGCCCTATGTTTGACCTCTCTGGGAAGACTACTGAGATAAAGGATAATTATTTTTTAAGGGGGGCTTTTGCTTTGGATCTGGATGACAACTGTGCTCATGGATCCTTGAACAAATAACATGGGGAAGTTTGGCTGGCTGACGTGGCAAAATAAGCTAATTTTCCTTCAAACTTTGAACTCCACTTTGCATTAGGTACTGAATGTGAAGAAACTGGTCCAAAACTGTGAGGCTGCAATGGGCTGGTACCCATAACATGCTCAGATGTCTGAAATGGCTTAATAGGATAGGGGAGTCTTAAAGAATCCATTATTTTGGAATACTGAAGAGTAAATCTTTTTGAACAGCTGTCTCTGCCCACAGGAACATCTTTTCTTGATAGTTTGCATTATGAGATCCAGTACAGGCACAAGTTCACAGGTTGTCAGCTCTTGCCCATGGACTGTCTCTCATCTGCGAGAGGTAGGATAGTTGCAGTGGTAATAAAAAATGCATCTCCCCACATGCAAGCAAACACAGTGGGCCAACCACACTTAGATGTAAAAACACTTTCTGGAAAAGGAGTTGGGAGGAGTTCTGCCCAGACTAAAAGGATACCAAGTCTTGATATAGCCTTTAAGTATTGAATTGAACCATACAAAGGACATGCCTTGTGACTTGTCACTTCGAGAAATCAGCAACTCTTCAATGTTTTCAACACAGAGTTAAAAAAATATCCTGCTGCCTTTGGTACCTGCCATCTCTTCTCAGACAGGTTAAACTGTGCGACTGGGTCAGTCTCTGTATCAGCTGCAGAGCAGAAGCCTGTACCCCAAAGACAACTCAGACAGGCCTGGAAGCATCTTACAGAGCCAGGCCAGGACCAGGGTCCAGCACTTCTCTAAGCCACTTGGTTTAGAAGAACCTGGAACTCAGGAATTTGCTCTATAAGAGCCAGTCAAGGTCAGAGACCTCACAGATCCATTCTGGCTGAAATATGAAAATAAACTATTGATGAGGGAGAATCTGAACAAGTGCCTTATTGAAAAAAGATTTTTTTCCTGCCTTAGTTCCTATGGTTTATCATCTCCGTCGTGTTTTGCAAATCAAGTGCCACCTATCAGTGAATCAAAATGGAGGTGCTTCATGACAGAAGTAGACATTTTTGTCTTCAAAATTTAGGTTTATATTTGAACTTTGCATATTAAAAAAACATCTAAATCGGTTTTATAAATTTAACCATACAGTTACTGCTCAAGCACCATTCTGCAAAATTTTAAAGTATACATAACTTAACCATGAACATCCTTTGAAAGACTACTTTGGAGTAACTGACATACTCCAGCCTCACTGGTAACTGGGTGCCAGACACATTGTCTTAGACTCCATTCTTATATGATCCACTGCTGTCCCCATAAAAGAGCAGTTATTCCCAACAGTCCTCCTCTTTCTGTTTCTACTGGCAGCAGCAGCCGGCAGCTTTGTATCCATCCCTGACAAATGCACAAAGACGCATTCAGCTGTTGGGACAATATTCATTGTCTGAACTGTCAGTTTTGCCTCCAGGTAGAGGATTAAATGGCACTGTCCTGAGAGCCAACCCCGGCTCATGGTGGGAACACCAGGATCATGGTGTAATCAGTGCTCAGAATAACATATGCCTTAGTATCTTGCAGTTACTTGTGACAAAGCAGGCAGATAAAATCATGCCCAAGTTGTAAAATGAAACATGAGTAGATACAAATGGTATGCTTATTCATATTCTGGTTCACAGAGTGTTAAATATACCACTGGGGCTGTGTCTGTTATAAGGACAGGGGCTATCTGCAGAATTTAACTTCCCGAAGTTCAACACTGCTTGTTTATGAGGCTGGATGCTGTGTCATTTCTACTTAAAATGAATGTTACAAAGGGATCCCTGTCTCCAGGGAGGTGCAAGTCACAGCTACATTCCTACACAAATTGCTAATGCTCATTTATAGATGTGTCTCTTGTGTTTATGCTGCAAATCTAATGCAACAACACTGGGAACTTGCTTGGGCTTCCTGACAATCAATAAAACCAAAGAACCTGTGCTAAGACTGAAGCTCCTGTCTCCAATGTTCATGCATTCAGAGGCTGCAGGAATTGCTCTCCCACCTCCACTTCAACCAGCAGGTGCTGTCTCCAGTACCAAACACCTGGAAGCCCCAAAGCAGCAGCACATGTAACGTGCAACTATTGTAAAAAACCCAATTTCTTGGCTCTTGGTAATAAGCTGGAATTTCTCTTCTCCTTTTAGCTGACCAAGCTATTTAAGTGTAAGAGTGAGGAGAATTTGCAGAACAATACAATGCACACAGTATATGGAAAGAAGCAAAAAGAAAATGGTAAGAGTTGTTAAAACGTTTTAGCACAAGCACTGAAATCACTGCCACACAGAAATTTTTGAGAAACCTGAGTAATTTTAAAAATAGTTTTTCAGTCTCCAGTGACTGAAGAAATTGTGACCACTGTGAAAAAATTAAAAAAAAAAAATCTAGATCTATCAGAATAATATATGACAAGTAGTTCTGCTACAGCATAGATGCTGCTTCATTCAATAACCAAACCAAAATTCCTTGGGCCTCATGTTAGGGCAACTGCTCTAGCAAACAGTATGACTATTGCCCCACAGTCTTAGAACACAAAATTTGTTGCATTCCATAAGGAGAAAAAGAATAAAGGTACTCGGACTTTTGCCTGTGCAATTAGAAACTACTACAAGGAAGGAAATACAGTTAAGTGTGCATGCACTGTTGATGAAACAAATCATTATGGAAACTTTCACTGTAGCTAGTTTTAGGAGAAGTAATAAATGAACTGTTAGTGTTGATCAGACACGGTGCTGTTAGTCATCTGGCAGACAGGAAGGAGAAACAGCACTTAAATTCAGAGGAAGCCAAGACAGGGGATGAGTCTCAAACTGAGGACGACAATTTTGGAGATGGTTGTGGGAATGAGTTAAGGCATCTCAAAGCTGAAAAGTTTATAAATGGTGGCTGAAAAGTATTCAAAAGAGGCCTCTAAATAAACTTTCTCACTACATATCAAAACAAAGCAAAATTGCTGGACCTTAAATAAAAGTGCTCAGTGGCCTAGAGGCATGGCCAGGCTGGTGATTAGTTGCCTTGGATATTTGATGGCCTATCCAAAAACAAGACATGTTGCTATTAGGTCAAAAACTTGCACAGCAATCTACCTGTGCTATTCGAGCTGCACTAGGCTCAGCTGGACTAACCTTACCGCGTTTGGAACTTATGTGTCTGCTAAAGCAACATTTTCCTGTACAGACACAGTGTTTATGAGAACTCAGGGATGTCCCCAGAGTCTTGTTTTGCTGAGCTGTCTGTGAGCCCGTCAGCACCCTATCAAACAGTCGAGAAATTTATTCCAGCGCTCATGATGATGCCAAATCTGCTTTGGGGGGCTGTTGCTGTTGGCTGGGGTGCGCAGTGGGCTTTCTGTGTGTGGGAACACAGTGTTCACCCGACAGCTGACACGCTGAAAAAGACATCAAAGGGCCACTAAGAAAACAAACTGAGGGACTGCCGAGCCACGGCAGGCAGACATCCCCCTCCTGCCGGGCGGGTCGGCTCCCGCAAATACTTTATTCTTTTTTGTCGCAAGTTGTTTTTATTTCCTCTGCTGTCGCCCCATGCCGTTCGGAGACCGGCGCTTCTCGCACGCCGCCCGCGGCCCCTTCCCGTCCCGCGGGCAGCGAGCCGGGGCTGCCGGGCCGAGCCCACCGCCGAGGGGAGGCCGGGCCGGGCCGGGAACCTCCGGCATCCCGGCCCCCCGGCCGCCCGCCCGGCCCCCTGCCCGGCTGTATTTAGCGGCGCCGCGGATCACGCGGAGCCCGCGGCGGCGACATGGCCGCCGCCAGCACGGAGCCGCCCAGGCTGAAGCAGCTGCTGGAGCGCGACCCTTACCTGGCGCCTTTCCGGACCGACTTCCAGCGCAGGTACCGCAGCGCGGAGGGGAGCACGGGGCGGCCGCCCGCCCGCCCCTGGGGGCGCCGGGCCGGGCGGTGTCCCCTCCCCCGCGCTCTCCCCTCCCCTTGGCCGGGGCGGCTCCGCTTCCCTTCCGGCGGAGGCGCCGCCGCCGCGGGCGGAGGGGGCCGGGCCGTCCCGTCCGGAGCCGGCAGTCCCCGGGCGCCAGCGCTGCGCCCGCGGCCCTGCGGAGAGCGGCGGGGGGCGGCGCCCGGGCCCATGGGGCACAGCCGGGGACAGCTTGCGAGAATCACAGGAGGGTTGGGGTTGGAAGGGACCTTGAAGATCATCTGTTTCCAGCCTTTCTGCCGGACACCCATCACTTGTTCAGGTTGCTGAGAGCTGCATCCGGCGGGCCTGGGTTTGAACTCTTCCAGGGATGGGACAGCCACAACTTCACTGGCTAACCTGTTCCAGTGCCTTACAATAAAGAAGTTTTTTCCTAATATCTAATCTGAACCTGCTCTTAGCATGAACCTGTCTCCCCTTGACCTGTCACTATATGTAAATAGTCTGGCCCCATCTTTCCTGTAAGCTCCCTTCAGGTGCTGTAGGGCTGCCATCAGGTCACCCCTATGCCTTTTCTTTCACTGGCTGCACAATCCCAGTTCTCTCAGCTTTTTCTCATAGGAGAAATGCTTCATCAGCTTGGTGGCCTCCTCTGGACTCATTCCAAAAGGTCAATGCCCTTCCTGTGTTGGGAATTCCAGAGCTGGATGCAGCCAGGGTGTGAAGGTGTTGCACTGAGTGTTACTATCGCTAACAAAAGAGTTTAGCAGCAACAATCTGTTAATAAACTGCTCCTGAATCTCGCCTTTCCCGAGAATTTTCCTGCAGGCGCGTGTTTTGAGGTGTCCCTGAACCGCCAGCTCAGCTGTTCGGCAGACCTGCAATGCATGAAGTAGCAGAGTGTGCATTAGGTTGGTGCCAGGTTGCTGGTCTGAGCATCCCTTTTTTTGTGCCTCTCTGGGAACTGTGACACCAACCCTCTGTCCAGGGCCTGGGTGAGAGCTTGATAGTAGCAGCCTGGGCAAGAGGAGGCCTGCATCCTGCAGAGCCAGGCTGCTGGCCTGGAAAAGCTGCTGAAACCTCACCCGCCGATTGAACACAGCCATTGGGAGCTTTTATGTTGCACATTTACGTTGTGTTTCGCTAGTGGTCCCCTGGCAATCAAAATAATTGTAGTACTGACTAATGCCCTGTGTCCCAGAAGTCTGGAAAAGTCTCTGTATATGAGGGATGTAAGAAGGAATATAATTTTATTTTTATTTTTCAGTCTTTGAAAAAGACTTTTTGGCTTTTTTTTTTCTTCTGTTCCTATGTTCTACATGGTTTAACATTACCAGGTGTCCTGTTGGGTTCTGGTGTTGAATAGTGGTAAATCTGGATCTTGTAAAATAGGATTAAGGATTGAGTAAACTATTAGGCTGACTTGCAGAGCATTTTCTCAAACTAATCTCTTAATGACCGAACAACTGAGAGTTTATACAGTGGTTCCTGACAAGCTCCAGGCCATACATGTAGTGCTGTAAAACATCTAATTTTTTCAGTGGGAAGCCAGGGTGTAGGAATTAATAAATGGGAAGATCTTGCTCTTAATAAAAATATTCATTAAAATATTTGGGCTCCCTGAATGTGCCTGCCATCAAAACAGTCATATTGTGGATAGTGGTGTTTGTATTTCTGAGGATAGTATGACTGTACTGAGTACAGTGAGTTTGCAAAACTTTTCTGTCCTTCTCAGGTTTGTGCATCTGGAGCATAGAGCTTTGGATGGTCTTGTCTCTATCTTGTCACTTTCTGGCTCCTGAACCTCCAATTGGTCAGTTGCCATAGAATTACTGTGCAAGCATGTATCCTCCTGTTGATTAATTGAAAAGAATAAAGGAAAACTTCTGTGGCAATCTCTGGATGATTTATTCTAAGCCCAAAGAAGCAGCACACCCTGTGGATGGTGGAGAGTGACAGGGAGGGGAAGTTCTAAGTTCAGGGAAATGCCTGTTAGTGTCTGCATGCAATGCTCATTGCAGTTTCTATGAATTCTGATTCAGTCTGTATGTAATGGTGTTGGGTGTGTTTTGTCAAGAGTGGCCAGGAGAAAGGAGTTTTGCAGCCTAATTGGCGTTTGTGTGAACTAGTTCATTAGGGGCCTCCAGTACATGGGATTTGCTTACTTTATGTCCAGTTCCTTTGCTGGGGGAGGTGGTGAACAGCCCTGCACAGCTGTGTGCACTGTGTCAGAAATCCTTAGCTAGGTGAACTTTGTTCCAGGCTGAAGGGTCCTGATGCATTTAACTGGTGGTTGTATGACCCATCACTGTGGTATGGGACTCGTTAAATAACTCAGTGGATCTGGTTTTCTACACCATGGTGGTGCAGGAAAAGGCTGTGAGGAAGCTGCCAGGAATATGTGCTGTTAAGCAAATCTGTGTGTTAAGAGTTGATTGTTTGTCAGCTGCTTGCCATGGCCTCATCATAGGTAGGACAGGAGGACTAAATTAGCAGTTAATTTAGTTTTGTAGAGTAGGAAAACTGGGTAGAAATGATGCTACTCAACTGCTGAGCCAGGGACAATCTGTTCATTATTCCTTCTGTTACTGTTGACTAACTTTCTCTAACTTTGCTCTGGTTACCTCTGCCCAGTGACTTTTTTTTTACACTTGAATAGTTTAGACAGAAAAAGTACATGCAGTCTCTCAGTTCAGATGGTCAGTCAAGTTTTTCCTGATAAAGGGAATGGGAGGCAGATTTGATGCCTGGCACCCTGTAGCATTGAAGTATTTTACTTATTTGGATTAGGAAGCTTTGGAAAAAAACAGAAGTGAAGGAGACTTGTTCAAATACAATATACATGGCAGCATTTCCTGTAGTAGTCTGAACCTCTTCTTAGAGTTTGCAATGATATTGATCTTACTTAATATTAAACTGAATCATCCTGGAGTCATGGAAATTTTACAGCTTATAGTTATTATACTGTGTATTGCTTAAAGAAATAAAAATTGGGGCTTTTGACAGAGGATTAAGGATGCTTGAGAAACAAAGCTTTTAAACATTTGTTGGTGGACATCCTTATATTATGCCTTGTGGGGTAAGATGTGATACAGTCCTCCCTTTATCTTGCTTAGTAAAAGTTAGTTTGTATAAGTGATGGGAAATACAAGACTTGGGGCCTAATCTAAGCAGTGACATCAGCAAGTTGCTGAGTTGCCCTTTGGGCTTGAGTTTATCTGCTGTCTTATCTGTGGCAGGGTATTAGCATGGCCAGGTGATTGTTAGTAGAGGACTTTGTAGCTGTGTAACCATGGCTGTCAGAGGCTGTACAGGTGACTTGGTTATTCTCACACTCAAAGACTGACCATTTATGTGTTGGATTGGGCTCCTCAGGACCTTGTTTGGTTGGGTCTCTGAGAATGTGTTTCTTCAGCCTCCCTGGGCAGCCTCTCCCTGTATTTGGCTAGCCAAATTGTGGAAATTTCTTTTTTAATACTGTAACTTGATGCAACCTTGTTGCTTCTGGTCTGCTTTCCCTGTTTCCCTTGGAGTGCAGCCTAGCTCATTATTTTCTTTGGGTGGTCTCAGCTACCTCTACCTGTAGATAGCTAAAAACTGAGTGGACATGAGCAGCCCATGCCTCCTCAAGTTAGCTTTTGCACATCTGTTCTGAGGAAACCCATCTCTCAGGCCCTGCCTGTGTGCCATAGTTAGGCAGACCAGAAAACAAAAAGCTGTTTTCTGGAGAGGCTGTAGTGTGTTCTATGCCTTGAGCAAGTGCAGGCCTCTCCTGCCCTGTGCTGTGCTCCTTCACCCATGGGATGGTGACCAGGTATGCACAGCAGTGTAGCTAATACTGAGATCTTTGTGCATTCTTTTGTTTTTCATTTCTGTTGGAGTGGTTTGCTGAAGGACAGACAGGCTTTAGTCACATCAGACTGGATTCTGCAGTATAATAAGATTATCCTGATTCACCTTGAGAATTGCCAGATCCATGATGAAATCAATCGTGATGTTGCCTCAAGTTCTGAAAATGTTCCTCTTGGTTTCAAGGATTGTCTCCTTTAACCTCTTGCAAAGTGTAGCTTTGTGCTTTAGACAACTGACTGTTTTCCCTCTCTTTCATAGAGCCTCGAGAAATGCTGAATGAGTGCTTTGGTAGGAACAAAGGGTTTCTCTAGAGAAGTAATGCCTAAAATGTGATGGTAAGACCTAGTAATGCCCTAAGTGTGGAGGATGGACTGACATCCTCTTTAAATGAGAGACTAGGAGGAAGAAAGACTTCTGGTCATGTTCCCTTTTCAGTACTTTGTCATGCCTGGGCCTGTTGCAAGTGGTGTTCATGGGGAAAATAGAAATCTGTATTTTTTTTTTCCTTTGATGAATGCCTGAATCTGATCCTGAGTCAAGGAAGGAGTATCTTCTTTGGGATGAAGGGAAATCAGTGTCTATATAGTGAACTGCTCAGTGTTGACCCAAATATACATTATTCAGATCTATAAATAAGAATTTGCTTAAAAAGACAAACAAAAAAATCCCCAAGTGATAGTGTTTGTGTGGGTATTGCTGTGCTACATTGTTTGACCATCTGCGATATGTTTGCCCACAAGTATTTTGTTAAGTCTCAAGTGTTATTTAGACTAAAGACTTTGTATAATTTAGTATGTATTTTTAGTCTTTTACCTCTTAGAACATAATTGGTTCAATTAAAACCATTAATGCCTGTGGTGTAATTGCATTTATGGAATTACAAACTGGTGTTAGAAAGTGCTGCCTATTAGAATTTTCTGCTATAACAATGTGCATGGCTTATTATATTTTACCCAACCATGCAGCTGCCTCTGTAACCTACTGATTATGTAGCCTTTGGTGAAAGCTTTTTTTCAGTAGTTCCATTTATAGAATAAATAAGAAACTGATACCAATGCATAGCTTCAGTGTTTGTCTTCAAAAAACATTAGTTTGTTGAGCTAGATAAAATGCTTCTGAAAGTGCTTGGCCATATGAATGGGTTGAGAGAGAGGAGTTCCATTCCTTCTGTACTGGTCGAGATGGGAACATGTCCTCAGTGGCTTTTGTAGCAGTATCAGTTACCAAGATGTCCTGTCACTTGGCTCATAGCTTT